AAAAATGGAATTAAAAATTTGAAATTTGGCGCACATGTATAACTTAATCTGGTCGTTTAAGAATAGTCATAAAAAATTAGACCAATCGAAATTTTCTGAATTTCCTATTCATTGTCATTTGTGTAACATTTTTCACATTTTTAGAAAATTCAGTAGGTATTTTACTTCAGTAGGAGTCTAACGGACCCTGCCACCTTTTGTAAGTTTACAGATTCTTTTTCACTTGCAACAAAATTACAATGGAGTATCCAGGGTGGTCCAAATTGGAGCTCTTATTACTCCACACACTTTTTCAAAAAATAATATCCCCATAATAATCTTTTGCAATTAATTGTATCTTTCAACGCTGAAAAAGCTTCAAAGAATTATAGGTATCAGCATAACCGTGGAATTTGCTAATTAGGAATTTTAATTTTTGCTTTTTGTGCAACAGTTCCATTGAATTAGAATGCAATCGATTCTCGAGCAGAGCGCCCTGCAATTAGATAAATTAATGACTCTAAATTAACACGCACGATCCTCCAGCAGCCTATTTTTTGTCGAATGCCAAGCATTTCTAAATCGAAGTTTGATATTTATAGTCATTTAGCTATTACCTAAAACTGGCACATATAAAACTTCCTATAATTTACGATCAATATTAATTTAAAGAAGGCATGCCTTACATCACTTCCTTAACAATTTATAACCCTAATTACACACATCGCTGTCGTACATCGACATAATTAGTTAACATAAAGAGAAAATCTACTTTTTGTCGAAATACTCAATTAACTAGCTACGACAAAATCATCCCTCCTTATCGAAACTATGTTATTTTATAAATGAACATGACAATTTTTTTTTTAGTTGCTCACTTATAGTTTCATGTGTGATTTATTGTTGGTTATGCGTGATGGCGATTGCATTTCTTGCGTTTCTTCCCTTATCATTCGCTCACCCACTTGTTCCAGAGGTAAATGTGTAGTTAAAGAAGATTGTAGTTGTGCAAAACAAAATTTATAGGTGGAATCGACGGCTAGTGATGCGAGAGCGGAAATAAGACAAGCTATTGGAAGAATTCACGATTTACAACACGAAAAAGGTCATACTTTTGCAGCACTAACCAGCTTCGCGCTTGGGGTAAGATCTTTAACTGTACATTGAGGCGAGACGAATTGACGGCAAGGGCCTAACCGTGCAAATTTTGGTGACCTTCTTGCGAAAATTGGCATTGGTGGAATAAAGTAAATCGTGTGGAAAAGATTGCCATGATCAATTTGGCTTTTGTGTAATACTGTGTAATATTCTTCGGTAGGGATCTGATTATTATTAACCACTTTCATAACTAAACCTCATTTAATACGTCAATCAAAAAAGATAATTGCTACCCTGAACAACACTGCACAATTAAAAAATCAAACGAATAAAATTTACAGTACCTACACACTACAGTGATCAATATAATAGGTTTTTCTAAGCGGATGCGTGTAATCTGAGCTTGAATATATTTTTTTAAATTTTCGTTTCGTTTGTACATTCTTTTTTGCGAAAAGCAATTTCAAGTTTTGAGGTGAGATTTGCGACTTTCACTCTTCTGTTTCAAAGCTATATAGTCAAAGCTCGGGTTGATTTTCGTTACGAACTTGAAACTTGAATAATCACGCGTATTTAAGAAATTTACCTCAACTGGAATAGAGGCGGATTTTACCTAATCTTTTGGAATGAACTACCTATTTATTGAACAAATGAAATTGATGGTAAAACCGCGATTTGTTCCACGATTTCACACGTAAATTTCGACATATTGGTAACCAGTACTAAATAGGGACTAAATTGATATGTAATTAAACAATATAAAGAAAACTTTAACACGCATTTCGACAGACAAGCAATCGAGATTCATTTGCTTGCAGATGATTACAGCTTTGCTGTCAAAACGCGTTCAGATTAATAAATTGTTTTTTGTGTTTATTATTATAACTTTTCAACCCTAAAAACCGCCGCTTAAACTGCTTAAAAACGACTTTAATAGATAAAAATAGAAAAGAACACGTATAATTACATAAAAATGATATTTATACACATATACATTTTCAATACAGACAGAACCTCGGACCAAAATCCCCCCCGGAAAAAAAACCCTCTCCATTTTAACCCTTGAGAGGCAACAACCCCCTTTATGGCATAATCTACAGTTTGTAGATATGCATGTCGATTCTTTTGTAACGCAAACTCATACAAAAATCTTAAAGAATTCCAAGTGAGTGTGACACCTAGCAGTGTTGGACACTAGGTTACTTCAGGTTTAGGTTATTTTTCTTTATTTTCTTAGAGTGTAGGGTTTTTGTCGGGGGATTAATGGATAGAGGTTTTTGACCGGGGGTTTTGTCCTAGTATATTTTACATACACAAAAGTTCACATTTTCATGGTTTAATCATAAAACATTTAAACGTATGTAACGTACGTAAACGTAAACGTATATATTTCGGAGTTATTTTGAAGAAGCTTTCTGGAAAGTAGAATGTATTAATTATACATTTCTGGAGTGGGCAGGACAAGTATGAGCGCATATTATTTTGTACTTTTCAGCGATACGGGTCGGAATTTTTTTGGCTCTAACCGTTAGTTCACAAATCGATTTTGAAAAAATGCTTCACGTTCACAACAAGTTCGAGCTCAAAAATTACAATTCGATCAATATTTATGAGCTTTTTTGAGCTTTTCAACGGCACCATTCTTTTGGAGAGTACTCACAAAAAGCGAAAAGATCGTCTAGACAAGACACATCTACTAGTGATGTGAAAACATAATTGTGAATAGTTCGAACATGTTTGAGGAAGGTGCCAACAAAGGGAAAATGCAATATTTCGAGGTATTCTCTAAGAGCTTGGTTAAAAATTAATAGAATGGCAACATTATTTTTCCAAAACCCATAAAATACTTAATTTTCTTTAGGAATAATTTTAAGATAATTTTTGTCCATTTAATCAACTCTCTATCTATGCTAATAAGCGAGATCTTTGTACTTAAAATCAAATTTGATACAGCCTGTATATTAAAGCTTAATGTGAGTAAAATTTGGTTCAGATGAGTTGAATAATGAATAATAAAAATAGAAAAAATACATACAATTACATAAAAAACATATACACATATACATTTTGTACAGGACAATAACCCCCGACCAAAATCTCCCCGGACAAAAACCCCAGGAGGGAATCACTGCTCGAGAAAAACCCTCAGGAGACAACAACCCCCCTATGGCATTTTCTACAATTTGTAGACATGTGTATGTGAATAGGGGTTTTTGACCGGGTTTTTTATCCTAGTACATTTTACATAAAAAAAATAAATTTCAAATTTTCACGATTTAATGATATATTTTATGATAAAAAGTTCATTTAAAAAACCATTTTGTAGATTTTTACAACAACAACACAATTTAATTTGAATAAATTACCGACATTACATAAAGTTATTTGTATATAGCCGGGCATCATCCCGAAAAATATCGTTATTAGAAAATATCTAGTGCTAACTCATAAATAAAATTAAACTATTAATAAAGTCTAGCTAGAAAACAAGTTCAAAGATCGCTGACAATTTTAACAAAAATAACGTACCTCAACAATTAATTCTAACTATAAACCAACTTGAAACAACATTCAAAGTTAAACAAATGAACAATGAACCATAAATACGAATGAATAATGCAAGAAATGGCTTTAATAAGAATGGTAATTAACGGAAAGAATAAGGAATTGAACATTTGCTAAGGTAACACTATTAAACGTCATTATTTAGATAAATAGTTCCACCACACATTTTCATCACTTAATACGGAGATCTTATTAGCATATCTTTTGGCCCCCGTAAACCGAACTTCGCGAGCTCACTGTCCGCCAATCCTCTGTTGGAGTCCTCCTCTTTCCGAACCGGTACAGATAAGCCCCCAAAATTTCATGTTCCGTGATTAACTGAACACATTCAAATTTTGAGGGATCCTGGACCGAACCTACACTGTCGGAATGAAATTGAAAATGGTTCTTCCTACATTTACTGTTTTCCAGCTCGTCTCCCATAACTTCTTAATTTTTAATTTTGTGTTTTCATAAATTTCCAAATCGAAAGGTCGAAACAGTGCGGTATGTCCGCACAAAGAGTATACTCCTTGGTTCGAGCAATTTTTATAGAAATTATTATTTGCGACCCGCATTTACCGTGTCCCATTCTTGCATTAAAGTCTCCTTATTTTGTAGGTAGACTTTCTCGTTTTTGGGCACGTTGGTAGGTATTCCCGTGAAAAACTCGTGAGATATGAATAAAATTGTTGTAGGCATTTGTTTATATTTAATTATAGTTTGTGTATTAACTGAATAGTAATTAATTAACAATTAAACAAAGAATCATAATAATATCTGAGAATATCTACAATCAATTTAGGTTGAAAAGCATCATTGTGAAAATATGAATTGTTAAACGAGTCTAGGCTTACTCTGTACAAATATATCCATTGGATAAGTTACGGTGAAAGTAATTAACGCGGCTAATAATCACGGTCAATGTGATAAATATGGGGTGCGTTTCAAAACTTGAGGGAAAGGGAAGCTACTGCCATTTGAAACTAAGAAAATATTGAATGTTCCGGGGGCTGTTCAAAAAATTATTCACGTTGACCGGTTATTATGAATAATCACGGCATTCAATATTTTAACCACAGCTGACAAAGGTATAATTAATTCCAAGTGTTCGAAGAATTAATTGAACAGTATTGCCAGAATACTTCCGCCTAGTACGTATATCCGGGCTACTAGTAATTGAATCATCTCATCTACTTTCATAATTTTTTATTCGATTTGGTATCAATTCATTACAGGTATTAAGTCTAAGTCCACTTTTACTTATTTGTCGTTATCGGTTGAGTAAGTAATAGTCAGTCAGGAGAAAACTAGACTACCACAAATATGCAAAATGGATAAGTACCAAATCGTTGCCATATTCCACTGTTGCCGTAAGTAGACGACCTAAATTTTGTTTTGTTTTAGGGAATTATGGCTGCTCTCGACTTTGCCGAGGAGGTGATAAACGAAGTAAGTCTTCAACCAACACAAAGCAAAATATCTTAACTATATAAAACCAAACAGTGAAAGAGATCCTTGCGTCATCGTGAGCAACTTGTACTTTGTATTCAACTCGCCTCCGAAATTATGTTTCGGAACATTAATTTAATTTATACAGTTGCGCGAGTTTTGAAACCTAAGAAAATGTCTACTTTACGCAGGAAATTGCATGGCCGCTATGTGCGCGTATTATGAAGTCATGCGTTATTGATTGTTTATATCGCATTTTTTATGATGTTGAACTGCCAAGAACTAATAGAATCCTTCCCTTCCCATATTCTCCAAACTTTGACAGTCCATCAATTGAAATGGGGTCTTACTTAAATAGCGTATGTTAATGCCATGCAAAGGTACAGAATGATTATTTAATGTAAGCTACCTCCCCATTTACAGAATTTTCGAATTCCGACACAATCAATATGAGGGCTCATTTGACGTACCCCTTCTCATTTTACTATTATCAAAGATTTGAATGTATTTCTCTTTTCTGACCCGTACTATAGTAGGTACCTTTTAACAGGGGCAGTAAGGAGAAAACTCATAAAAGCACATGCCATTAACCCCACTTGTCTTGGTAGCAGAAGTTAAAAAAAATAGATTGGGTCAATTTTGGTTCATCATACCAGTTGAGGGTTAAGATTTTAAAATCTTGAAATCTTTAATTCCTCTCGTTTATAGTAAAAATATCCTGCAATTTTTAGTGGCAAATCATATTTTTTAACCTCATAGCTTCCAAGATTTGGGGACTTCGAAGAAAGGGCTAAAACTAGATGCACTTCTACATGCCTTTGAATGTATAACATATCACACTATGGAAAAATGTGATTTCAGTGCTGAGAGCAAACCCTTGGACGAACAGAAGTGTATTTCTTTTCTTATCTCATCAGTGGACACTCCCAAATGGACGGAGCCATGTTTCTAAATAAATATCGTTTTCCATTCAGCCTCTTTGACTTCATTATTTACGCTGTTAAGGGCTGTTACTATTACCTAAGAGAAATGACATGTCACATTTACGTTTAAACTAGCTGGGGTTTTACTACGGACAAGCTGCTATAACGAATTGAAATATTCAGCCTTGTGATATATCAGACACGTCAAACTTAACGTGCAGGTTATCTGCCGAAAAACGTTATTTTACGTTATTTAGTATGGGCAAAATAACGTTTTGTACAGATAAACTGCACGTTAAATTTAACGTGTCTGATATATCACACGACTAATGATCTCGATCCACTATTTTAAATATTGCCACATTTGGGAGTACCTATTTAAAATTCCATTATTAATCTACAGACCCAAAGTATTCCCCAAGAACGTAACTCCATTCGTCAGCGCCGGCAAGAGGTAATAGCTACGAATACTAGCCGTCAAGAAACTACGACAGAGCTGATTCCAACAACAACCGAAACATCAACGTCTGATCCTACAACCGTTACCGTTCTCAACTTTTTCCCTGACCTCGCCAACGACTCGATCAACGAAATCGATTCCGATCGCGTGCGCTTGATACGCGAGGACGAGCCAAAAGGCGCCAAAAATGGCACGGTAAAGGGAAGACAGGAAGACGACGACGGAGACGGCGGTGGACTTTTAGGTGCCATCATTTCTGGGTTTTTGGGAAGTCTTAGTAATGTAACTTTGAGTAATAGTTGGAGCGAGGTCTAGAGTTTTCAAATTTTTAGCCCGAAGGCGGGGTCGATATTGATGCTGTCGTTAACGTAATCGGAAGCTTGAGTGTGGTAATTACTAAATAGGGGTGTGATTGCAAGCTGGACCTTTTCAAAATTAATCTGTTTCAGGCGCGAACGGATGGGACTTACGATTTTTCAGGTTTGACGGATACGTTAATGGCCTTTTTCGGGGTAAGTTACGCCTCATTCATCGGCTGTCTAGAATCGTGCTCTGCGGTGGATTAATGATGGATTAATTAGACAGTTGGCGCGAAAAAGAAAGCTAACACGAGCGGAAATAATTAGTATATTGTATGTACTCTTACTTTTAGGGTGGCGACGACGGCGGCGGTTCGGACGTAGGATCGTTCGTCGGAGGTCTTGCAGCAGCGTCAATTGCGGGATTTGCCAATCCTCCTGGAGCGGTAATTCGGACCGAAGCAATTAACTAAGATTTTACATTGCAATTTTTTACAGAAAGGAGCCGGAAGCCTAGTGGGAAACTTATTAAAACAAGTATTGCCTGCCATAAGCGCTCCGGTAATGTAGAATTATGTAATTACTTGAATAACATGCATTTGACAAATAGCCAATTTCTCCGAGTTTTCTAAAATCGTTGTTTGTAGGATCCACCTGCACCAGGAGAAAAACCGCAACAAAGCGGCGCTGGAGGTTTCCTACTTAATTTACTGAATGGATTGTTTGGCACTCCGCCCGATGCAAATGTGAGTACCTACACATCGTTTACGATCACGCTTTTACTCACGTCGTGTTGGATTTTATTTTATTTTTCATCCAATTTTTTTTTATTTAAATAAATAATAGTGGCCCTCTCGTGGTTCGTACAAGAATTAGACTTGAGCTCTTCCACAGCCAAAAACCGAATGCCCAAAAAATCGTTTTTCCCTATTAATCCTCTCTCATGGTTTTCGTCTATCCACACACCAAGAAAGTGACGCCGTGTAATTAAATTAGTCATTCTTTATCACGAATGAATCTGATTCGTTTAGCTCAAAGAATTACGTGAACTCTAGTGCCATAAAGAAAACTCGCTGTAGTGTCAACATTACTAGTAATTTTCAAAATTTTCTTACACTATAATTTTGTGCTTATTGTATCTACTCATTAACCTGATCTGCACAAAATTTAAAATTAGCGGCCCAAATTAGCACATTATGAGATAGTTGGAACTTAATTCCTTTCAGTCGACACTACAACTTCACGGACCCCCGACCCCTTCACTTCCTAAATGATACATACAAATAAAGATCGAAGATTTACGAACCTACGGATTTTCAAAACTGTAGAATTAGTACAATTGTTTCGAAAGCGACCTTTCAGTTTGACCACCCCTTATACTCCACTAAAACTGCGCAACCCTAACAAGATTTAACCCATTAAGTCAGCCTCTGTTACACATCAAATTCAATTCTCCTCAATAAATGGAAAAGTTCAACCCCAATCCAGGAATCGTCTCCAACTACAGAAAATCGTCCCTCAAATATTCGGCTCTGCAGACTACTCCTAGGACCTAGGAAAAGTTCCGTTCCGAAAAAGAAAGTCTCAAATATTTTCGTTCAATGAAACCTTTAATAACAATTGATATATTTAATCGATTTAAAATTTATCAGTAGTTTAGCTACAATAATGGGTAATTTTTGCAATATTTAACACTCCGCAATATTTAAGAGACATTTCTGCCCAAGAATATTTGCTCCGTAATTTTCGGGAACGATCTGGCACAAACAAACCTCCTTAGTTTCTAAATTCATGTCGCTTTTAATTATAATAATATAACTATATTTTGTTTCAGAATCCCAATCCGCCATTCTCTTTCGCAACGGTAAACCACCAACGTTCCCAGCCTCTCCACATTTACCTACAAACATTTTATTTTTCAGATCAAATCGAATATAATCACGGCCGTGGTTTCGGCAGTGTCGTCGATCCTAGGCGCATCGTCCTCGGCCAGCTCCAAAGGGTAGAAACGAAGAAGTTTTTCCATTAGGTTACAAATATCGTATATTTTTTTAATTGAGTCGCTTTCCCCGCAGAAGTGCGTAGATTGTTTGAATTAAAAACAGATTAAGTGTAATAAAGGAGATGCAATTGCATAATTTGTTTTGTGTGTGTTTTTTTTTATCGCACGGTGAAATTAATTAACATAATGGCCAGTAATAACTTGCTTTCACTGCCAGCTGTGACGGATTCGCAGAGAAACATCTTACTTTAATTGTTCAAAAAATTTTTAATAACTAATGGCCAATACGAATAAGCGTATCATGTAAAATGTAGAAAGTACGGAAGTAATATCCGATGATAACATTGGGAATTACTAAGGATTTTACTGCATCGTTTGCAGTGCAGTACAGGTTTTCAAACTTTCTTATTTAGACAAAACGACAGTTTTTAATTTTGTGCATGAAAATTGAGCTCACGAACTTGAAAATGGAAATTTCCTATGCATAATTTTCTCTTAGACGCCGACATTCATAAACGAGGAAGAGTAGCTTGTTATAAGAGCAACATTTGCCTGGAGGAAATTTAATAACATTATTAAATTTATACACGCAAGCATCAGTTCCAAACACAATTTGCTCAATAAACCAATTATGAGACTGTTACCCACGGAAATTTAAACAAATTTAAGATTTGTTGTCGGGGAGTAAACATCTGGGTGAAATTACATTTTGCATGAATTAACACTCACTTCGCTTTCTTCTAATATACTATTTACATATCTTCAATGGGGATAATACTGTGCTTATTATTACCTACTTACCCACTTGCATTACGCAATTCATTAAAATAAAATTATGGCAAGGAGACTCCAGGTTAAAATTGGAAATTGTTTGGATTTGCACTGAATATCGTTGTCTTAGATTTTTTTAGTGCACTTATGTCAGGGGTTAATGATTCTTGTTTCGCAGTTGATCAATTATATTTGTTATGGCTTGTCTGTAGAAAAGAAGTAGGATCACAAAGGAGCGGGACCTGGAAACAATCTATAAATCAGTTGGAAAGGTATTTAAATGAATTCGGGTGAAAATTGCCTTTCTCTAGCCAAGTTGATGGCAACGAATCGATTTCGCACCTTCACAAAATGACATCTCTGCAACTAACGTTATTACTTTATTATTTGTGTACCAATTTTATTTAAAAAAAACACCAAAACATCAAAAAGTACAAGTATGGGTTGTGCAGGTTATTACTCGTACATTTTGCCTTATACTAAATAATATTTATTAAGAAGGTTGGAAATTTGACAATAGATGAAAATTATTATTATTATTTTTAGTTGCTAAACAACCCTCACAAAGCACAATAAATTCCCACAGGATACAATAGGTATTTTAATTAACTTAGTCTTTCTGGGAATTTAATCCTGCCTCCGTATCTAATATAACTTTTGGTTTTCGAGATAACTTAGAGGCTGGACCTTCTTTGGTTTGTTGATTGGTCATCTTAGAGAAAATCTGACTTCAATCGGTCTATCGATATAGTTGGCACCCTTGAAATCAAGTTAGCACCCCCACTTTTACCGATTGAAATTTTATTATTAGTCGCATCAGAAACTATGAATTAAAGACTAATTTGTACCTCCAAGTTAGATTTTCATTGTTTAAACAATTTATACATTATTTAAACAATTTTTCTCGGAATTAATAAAAAGAAATGCAAATGTAAGGACTAATTTGTACTCAGGGGGTCGATTTTTGAAACCAGTCGCATCTATGATCGTATACGCTTAGATGCGAAGACTTAAAAACGTATACGTTTTCTAAATGCAATTTTTGACTACTGTTCGTAACTGCCTGGAAGGTGGTGAGGTGAAGAAATTGCTTAATAATAATATTTTAGGCACTGATTAGCATGAATACTCAAAACACGATGGACACGCCAAAGCGAGGGTGTAATACCACGCAAAACCAAAAAAGGTGGCTTGTGGAGTTTGCTAAAAAAAACACCCCGATATAATAGCAGGGAAACAAACTACGACTTTGACGTGCAAGAAAGAAAGAAAGAACGAAGTAGCTGGTACATTTTGATAAATTGTGCTTCTTTTAAGATTTCTATGGGGTTGCAAGGATACGGTTCCTATTCGGGCGATAATTGCGTTCGGCATTCTCTAAATTGTCTATTACAAACACATTCACAACTTCATCCATTGCTGTAAGTAGATAGGTACCTCTCAAGTCTCAAGAGTCAAAACTTCAACACTAACCAATACATAACCCACAAAACGTCAGTTGATGCGAGGGTTTGCGAACGCCATTTACCCGCTCGCAGGTATTTTTCATTTGCCTATTATAACGGGCGATCAGAAATGAGTTGCTGTCGAGTCGCCTTTGGAAGTTCAAGTTAAATACGATTTTCCATGTAAACAAAAATTTCAAAGGCGAATTGACAGCAACTCATTTTTGATCGCATAGTATGACAATGATATCTGTCATATGAGATAAATGAAGCACTCTATGATGTCCTAGGGCGTAATGAAAGGGCATAATGGGACTGTCACCTCATTATGCCCTCAGACGTCCTTTCAAACATATTGATTCGTATGAAGCACTTTATGTTGTACAAACAATAAGAATCATTACATTGGTATATTATGGAAACGTATTATTTGAAATTATGACAAATAAAATGTATGCACCTCAGACATTACTCTACATTTAACACTCGGGCGGTTTACAATCAGCCGCCCTAGGCATAAATATCGCCACAATGCCCTTGATGCTAAATAGTCAAAATGGCAGACGTTTATAATAAACTTTTGTGTGTATTTGTCAAAATTTGAAAAATTACGTAAAAATAGACTGGACTGCTCAATATGCTTTATTAATAACTTTTTCGCCCACTAGTATACTGCGCTGAAAAACAATAGCGACCTGTTTATGTTTTTAAGAACGTGTACCAATTTTCAAAGCGATTGGGTACAGTTACAGTGTTATTGTGCCCATGGACAGACAGACAAATGGACAGATAGGTAGACAGCAATACAAAATTAGGATTGTTACTAATTTAGCAGAATACATTCTTTCTCCCAACGTGCGCCCTGGCTCAGACGATTCTAAACAATATAATTTATTTACAAAAAAAGTTTGTGTGTATAAATTAGCCCTTAATTTATACGTTGAATTTTACTAATTCCGTGAATTGTCTTTTTTTAGAAAAAATTTTTAAAAATAATGTATAAATTATTTAAACAATGAAAATCTAACTTGGGTCTTTAATTCATAGTTTTTGATGCGTTTGGTGGCTACTTGATTTCAAGTTAAGAATCGGTTTTCCGGCAGAACTAAGCGGGTAGCATTTAAACATTCCGGCATAGGATTCAGCACCCACGCAAATTTGATTGGTCGATTTGAATTTGCTGTTGTAAATTAACACGGAGTGCCGAAATCAGTACCAGAATGTTGGACAGTGCTGAAACACAGGTCGGAATGTTGCCATGCATTTGGCATATTATGCTTATTACGTGTCAACAATGCAGTCTTTCTGTCTTCTGAGTTGTTGATGTATTAAGTTACCATTCTTTCTCTCTGGACCTTAATTGATTTTATTCCTAAATGCCTGGAAGAATATTACTAGGGAAGAATAAGAAACTTTGTTCGCTCAAGAAATATACGACTTCAAGATTGCTATTTATTAAACTTATTACAAAGAGCATCCGCAATTAAAATGAAGATATTCAAAAAGTCAAAAAATGTACAAAGTTCCTAGTGTGAACAACAAAGCTGAATTTCAATATGTCGATGGCAATATTGGATTTTGTAATTGTCCCAGTGGGAAATTTAATCGGTTTTGCAAACATTTTGATCTTCCAGTAAGTTTAAATTCTATGGCCCAGTTAGCGTTTGAGGAAAATGTTCAACCTATACGACATTTTACGAACCATTGGTTGTTTCAAACACCGAATATACAACAGCAATAATCCTGAAGTCAAGTCTCTGTTCATAACAATTTTTCAATATCGCTAAACAATATCTCTGTTGGTTGCAAACAAGATGATTTCTCTGAAGTAACTCCACTAAGATAATTTTTAGCTTCCTAGCATGTGCTAGGTAGCTATTGCGATAGCCGTTTTTTGAACATTTCAAAATTTCATCAAATGTCGACGTTTTAGACCATTTTAAGCAACTTTTAAAGAATAAAATTTTTTTCCGTCTGTATGTACGTACGTACGTTTGTTGCCAACGGGCCGGATTTTTGAAAAAAAATTTTGGAGCGCCGTAACGGCATCGAACTTTTTTTTTCAAATAGCAACCTAAAATTTTTATTCTATTATTTGGAAGACTTTATTTTCCTGTGTACAACCTACAAAAAATTGGGCCGGGTTATATTATCAAAAAACGGAGAAAAAAATTGTCAAAGTCAAAAAATTGTGTTGCATATGTGCAAAACGCAACGATCAATTTAAACGAAATTTCTATGGTAAGTCCCTTTAATAAAAGCAAACAAAATTCATGCGCAAAAATCGTGTTGCGCATGCGCAGAAATGCAATTTTCTTATTTATGGAACAATTAAAATGAAATTTGGATGGTAGGTCCTCCTAATAAAAGAAAACAAAACGCATGCGCAAAAAATCGAGTTGCGCATGTGCAACATCCAACGTTATTATTTATGGAGCAATTTTAACGAAAATTGGATGGTAGGTCCCTCTAATAAAAGCAAACAAAATGCATGCGCAAAAATCGTGTTGCGCATGCGCAGAAATGCAACTTTCTTATTTATGGAACAATTTTAACGAAATTGAGATGGTAGGTCCTTTTAATAAAAGCTAACAAAATGCATGCGCAAAAAATAGTGTTGCGCATGTGCAACATCCAACTTTCTTATTTAAGGAGCAATTTTAACGAAATTTGGATGGTAGGTCCCTCTAATAAAAGCAGTGCGTACATATGTTGGCAATTTTTGGTTTCAGCTAGGAAGCTATTCTGTCAAGAATTTGACACCTGGTTTAATGTAAAATTAAACGTACTCGTATGTTAAAGATGGGAATGCTGTTTTTCATCAACATTCCGACCTGTGTTTCCGCCCTGCTCGACATTCTGGTACTGATTTCGACACTTCGCGTTAATTGACCAAACCAAATCCAAATTGACCAAT